GGGGGGGGCAAAAGGGGTAGGCACACTTGGAGGCATGGAGGAGAAAGTCATGGGTATGAATCTTTAATGAATAGACAAGGAGCCTGTCGAAGAAAGGGACTCAAAATGGCATGTGCTCCCAGAGACGCAATGCCCAAGGGTGCCACCTCCTCTCTAGACCAGCAAAGCTTGTAGAGATCAAACAGGGAGGAACAAGAAATCAGGCGAATAAATTCATAACACAAATAGTTATGCATTGAAGCCAAAAAAAGACATGGCAGGCGAGTACTAACTAGTCCAACAGCTGAATAAATTCATCATGAACCAAAAGTGCAACCGAAATTACAAGACACCACAAAACCAAGTCCAACTAGATGGTCTAGAGTTCACAAGTTATATGTGAATCCTACACTATTCCTTGTTCGGTAGAATTAGCAAGTATGAATTAATTCTACACTACAAGTTCCAGAAGATCCAGGCATCCTAATAAGCCTAGTCTTAGCATTTTTTCATAAGATATTTAATAGTACCATCATTGTTATGAATCTTAACTCTAGAATCATCAATATAAGATCTGAATTTGTCACAAGCAAAGAGGATAGCTAAAAACTCATTTTCAGTAGTAGCATAATTTATTTGAGCATTGTCTAATTTGTTACTAGCATAATGTATAAAATTCAATTTCTTAACAACTATTTTTCTAAGAATAGCTCCTAAACATAATCATTGTTATGAATCTTAACTATTTTTCTCACACATGATTTGAACATGCAAATTCCAATTAGGAGGTTAAACTACATGTAAAAGAATGAAAGTTTTCTTAAGGATTTCAAAGTCTTCCTTACAATCATCATCAAAAGGTAAGGGAAAATCTTTCTGTAAAGAATTGGTAAGAGGCCTAGATATTTTAGAAAAATCTTTAATGAATTTTCTATATAAACCGGCATGACCTAGGAAACTTCGTATACCCCTTATATCTCGAGGGTAAGGCATTTTCTCAAAAACTTCAACTTTAGTTCTATCAACTTCAATACCTCTTTTAGAGATTCTATGCCCAAGGGCAATACCTTCATTCACCACAAAGTGACACTTCTCTCCGTTCAAAACATGTTGAGTCTGCAAAACCAAGTTATGATTGTGCAAGCAATCATTGAAAGAAGTTTCATAGATGGAGTAATCGTCCATGGTCTTTTCGCAAAAATCAGCAACGGTGGCAATACTACATCTTTGAAAGGTAGAAGGTGCATTACATAAACTAAAAGACATACATTTGGTCGTGGGCTAGGTAGGGTGTTCATCTAGATTAAAGCATATTTTTTACGAATGAGACTAAAACATCCTTAATGTCACTTTCTTTAAAAGGCGAGTCGAGGTTATGAAATTGGGGAATGGGAGAAGGGTAAAAGTTTAGGAGGGAAAAGTTCCAAGTTGTTTGTGGAACTCTCCCGATGATGTCCTTGAAATACTCCTTTTTTAGCTGTCCTTGAAATACTCTTTAAGTATTATAGCTTTTTGGAAGTGGTTTGTGGAATTTCAAACGTTGGTGGTTAAGGCAAACGATTTTATTCTTACGAAGTCTTTGTGAGGCCGATGTGTGGAAATATTTGGTATTTTCTTCCCCTTTGATAGCAGCCCACACTTTTATCCCTTTGTTTCTAGAAAAGGGTTTTTCCGTGATAACTTTTTGGAGGAAAGTGATTGTGTCTCTTTCAAGTTCTTTTTTTGGAGTCGAGAGGGGTCTATTTTCCTTCTTCAAATATGGGTAAGCTTTTTTGAGAAGGTCGCATGTAGATGGGCTGGAGTTCTTCTGCCAACCCACTATTTTAGGGTGGCACACAAGTCTTTGATGCCTTTTGAAGTGCAGCCGTTGGGCGGAGCCCATGTGCCAAATATCTATTTGAGACCCAACAATGTTGTACAATACTGAGGAAGGTTGCCGATTTGACCCAACCTGATTCAAATAGGAATGGCGGGGGGCTGGAGTGCGGTGTGTGAGTGTCGATGTGGACTATTAGTGGGACATGACCGAATGCAAAACGTTGTACAATATTCTGAGGTAGATTTAGGAGGTGAGCTAGTTGCCCAATACCCTAAAACTTATTATTAGGAGTTAAGTTTTAGGGTGTTTTTTATAGTCATACTGTAGAAAGGAACGGGCTAGAGATCCTTAAGGTATCTACAAATGTATGACATCAGCTTGAAGTAGAAAAGGGTCGTTGAGAGGGTAAAATAAGCTCTTGGCTAATCTCTTGGTTAAGAGATAGACAATGGTTGATCTTGTTCCCTTGGTACCATATCCCATGTCATGCCACATCTTTTCGTGGAGTAAACTTGAGACATTATACAAATTATGTCATTGTCGAATCTAAATGGTGTGGAGAGCCTGAAGAGATAGAGAACCAGCTTTTTTCTGAGATATTCATTGGGGAAAATGGCCGCTAGAGTCTGATGCTTCTACACTGTGGAAGATACCGTGCGAGAACAAGGGTCAAAATGGGAGGGAAGTGGAGACCATTAATAATGCCGCAAGAGAACATCATATGTGTCTGCTGTTTCAAGCGTGTGGGGGCAAAAGGGGCAGCAACACTTCGTGGCATCGAGGATGTGCTTGCGGAGGAGAAAGTCGTGGGTATGAATCTGTGATGACTAGACAAGGAGCCCACTGAAGAAAGGGACTCCAAATGGCATGGCACTCCCCAGGCAGCAAAGTTTGTGGAAATCAAATAGGGAGAATATATTAGAAAGCAGGGAATAAATTCATAACACAACAAGTTATGCACCGAAGCCAAAAAAGACATGCAAGTGAGTATTAATTATTAACCAGTCCAACAGCAATAAATTCATCATGAACCAAAGTGCAACAGAGATTACAAGATACCATAAAACCAAGTCCAGCTAGATAGATGGTCTAGAGTTCACAAGTTATGTTGCGAATTCTAAATTACTCCTTTGTTCGGTACAATTAATTGGCATCAGATGCATGCACCAAAATGATGGAAACCTTGTCGCAGCATACTTACGCCTTCCATTTGTGAATAGTCAAGGGCCGGTAAGTCCATCGACAACCCAGATCTTCTCACCCCTTACAAAAAACCAAATCCTGTGCACAAATGAGAAAGATAAGTCTGATGTGTCTGCAAAAGTACCCAATGCACGGCTACTTGACAATGAAAATGAAGATGCTGGAACAGAGCTCGTTATGTATGAAAGAGATTCACTTTACCAGATGCAACTTATTTAACATGAATCTAGGCATGAACTTCCATTGTATTTGATAATCTAACACACAAATGTTTAGCTAAACTACTCCCAAATGAGAAGGCAGAAAACGCTATAAGCAATTTCATGGCAAAGGAAATGTTAAATATGCAATCACCACATACATTACTACAATGTTATGTATGGACTTTTATTTCTGAAGAAAAATGTTACATAAACTGTAATGAATTCGTAGGCAAGTCTACAAAAATGGCGAATAATTTAGCGCTTGACAGAAGCAAACTGGGTGCCGAATAATTTAGCCCATAAGGGCAAGAAGCTGCTCCGAGCCAGTGAGCCAAAATAAAAACTTGTTATCAATTAGCACCAACGATTCGACAATGCAATGAGTCAAAAATATTATATGAGTGCAGACATTTAAGTTACTGTTCATAACTACTCTAAATTAATCAATTCAGACATTTATGCTAGTGCCGAATAAAAGCAGAACTATTCAACAAATCCATATTGTGTTATGCTCGCTGTTCTGGCAACACATATATTGAACATCCTTTTCCAACAGAACAGATTATATTGGTTTCATTTCCGAGCCTGGCCAGGCTTGATCCAGATTTTTCATATCTCAAACAATTCGGAACTAGCAGACTGACCCACACATTTGCGTGGCTAGATTCATATAGAATGTTAGATATGACAGTTTAATTTTGAAATGGTCTCTGCAACACTTTGACTATTGTTTATTTGAATCTCCTTATGTAGTATTTTACATAATAGTACTATGGAAAGAAATGCTTAGAATATAATGGCACTAATTAACTTGACTAATCAATATACCTTTTATATATTAAAAACCATGCTAGCAACATTCTATTGCATGTATTTTATTCAGTACATGATTTTTCTGGTATGTTTGATTGGTGCCAAAATATAACCCACCAAAATTTTGTCAGCCTTTGATATTTTGGCTGCTACTTGATTGATCACCAAACAATGCACATTTGACACTAAACTGAGAATGACGAGAAGACATCTATAATTCCCGCTATAGCACTAAATTTGAACTCATGCATTTAGCGCCGCTAAGCCGCTACAGCTAGAGGAGGGGCGCAAGTGAGTTCGACAAAGCCATTAGTAAAATGTGTATTTCAAGTATATATGGGATATATCATATATGATGTCTGACTGTATGCTTATTTTTTCCATTTTTCATAAAAAAAATACTAAATAGGCTTAGCTTTGCTGTAGCTCCGCGATAGTTTTGCAATGCTTCTCGCTGAGCCATCACTAAATGGTATAGCCCGCTATTTAAAACTTTAGCATTATCCTTTTGGGAAATTATGGACTAACTCTAGCTAGATGGTTCCAACTTGTCTTGGGTTCATTTTTGCTATGTTGTATTGTTCAGCATACATAAAATTACTTACCATATAATCTACATCATTTGTTTCTTTCAATATGCATAGTTGCTGCCACAATATATATTATCTGCATCCTTCATATGCACGCTCACTTGCGTACACATGACATTGGCATGAACCCATAGATTTTTCTTGTGCTATCTCATGCATTATTTACACGATCTTTATGTCATTGCTCCGTGGACTCTATTAGCAACCAAATCCATGAATTTTTATGCTAGTCTTCATTGTACTGAACTCTTTGCTTATTGTTTCAAACACATTCATCTTGATACAACTAAAAAATGTTCCCTAACTTTTTATTAGCAGAAGGAACAAACGCATGTTATGTTGAAATTATTTTCTCCGCCACCACATATCTCATCTTATCAGTTGGTAGTCAAAAAATAAGCCATGCAGATCCTTTTTTTTCCTCGAATTATTGTGTGTTGTAATTTACATTGTTGCCGTTTGAAGAAGCCACGTTGATCTTTTTGTTCTATATAAAATAAATATAATTTGACTTTTCAGCCTAACATATGTACCCGCAACTTTTGATGTTGTAGGTTTTTCCCCATAAAACTAATTATGATATTCACAAGAAAAACTATTATGATATATTGTAGTTTGCACATTTTGCTCATATATATACACTGATAGAAAAAGGGCCTGTTGTCCCTGAACCGGGACTAAAGGGTACCGGGACTAAAGGCCCTCCACGTGGCCGGTCCACCTTTAGTCCCGGTTGGTAACACCAACCGGTACTAAAGGAAATTTTCTGATTTTTTTTGAAATTTTTTTATTTTCAAATTTCTAAATTATTTTAACCTCTAATCTCTAATCACCCTTCATCACTGCTCAATTTAATCTCTAATCACCCCTCATCATTCCAAATCATCTAACTTCCCGGACGGTCACCCATCCTCCCACTCCCCCAGCCTGAGCACGCTTAACTTCCGGGTTCTATTCTCCCTCATTCCCAAGTCTGCACTCGTTGTTTTCCTGACAATAGTAAGATGTCAATCCTATTAACCCTCAGGAGTTTAGCTTGAGCATGAAGTCACACATTTCACTGTTTGAGTTTAAAACTATTGTTCTAAAAAACAATAATTTTTTAGTAACACTAATATTTCTTGAATAAGTAGTTTGACCACAGTTTGACCATAGTTTGACCAGATTTGACCAAAATTCAAAAAAACTGAAATAATTATTTAATAACGCTAATATTCTTGAATAATTATTTAGTAATACTAATACTTCTTGAATAAGTAGTTTGACCATAGTTTGACCAGATTTAATGAAAATTTAAAAAAATTGAAATTTGAGCATAATTTTTTTCCTTTTGGAATTTGAGGATTCTAAAAATTTGCAAACAGGCCGTAGGCGGTCTCCATCGGATGTAACTTTTCGAGTAGATGATTTTTCATATAAAAAACTTTTTAATCCGAGTTCGTATGCAAAAGTTATGCCCATTTTACAAATTCCAGAGAGATTTTGTAAATAAAGTCAAAATTCATATTTGTAAATTTTCCCAACAACTAGACCACATATCACATGGGAAACTTTTTTTATTTTATTTTTTTGACATTTCCATCATTTTTTTTGTTTTTTCTAAAACTGAAAAGGCGGTCCACCGGGGGGGG